AATTATATATATAAATAATTTGAATCAGTTTAAGAAAATTAACGTCAGTTGCTCCCGCTCGGGATTCGAACCCGCGACTTCTCAATCGAGCGCCACGCCGCTACTCACTACGCCACCTCACTTTTGAAAGCTTCGCTGGCAAAACTGCAATAGAGTCACTGCTGCAGCGCCATCTAGCAAAACTAAATCAAACTAACAGCTGATGATATTCTAAGAATGTTCTAGAGGAAGTTTGAATGTATGTGTGCACACGTATACGATGCTGTTGTAGCTGCTGCACGTGCGTTAATTAATTATTATTTTTTAACGTCGATTGACTTTCAGCATATGATCTACATATTCTATTGCATATTTGATAAATTAAAAAAAAAATGAAAAATCATTAGAATTAGCTATTCTGGCATCTGACTTGAACTTGAATGTTTTATTCGATAAAAACATAACGAGATGATTTATCGAATTTTAAAAGCAAGTCTCTAGCTCTTATATCTTCTGAAATCGACGCGTTCAAGCAGACGGACAGGTCCAAATCGACTCAGCTCGTCGCCTGATCAAGAATATATATACTTTATGGGGTCTGCCGCGCCTCCTTCTGTTACATATACTTAACAAAACCATTATACCCTGATTTCCCATTGAAAATGGGTTCAGGGTATAATAATGAATAATGATAAGGATTTTGTTTGCAATTTATTTACATAAGCTACGTTATTATTTAATATATCATTCCAGCTGTCGGTGTCCCGTTATGAAAGGATCCAAAGAAATAAATAAGCGATTGAGTAGATCTGTATTTGTTGCTACTCGATAATGCTATGAATATGTTCTTGTAAAATCAGTCTTGGATATTTGGAGTGAAAATGTCTTAAAATTGTTCACATTAATTTTGTATGAAAGAAAGCCGTGTGAATCATGTAAATTATTAAATGTTATCACTTCATCATAGACAAAAATTCATGCCCATATGAATTCTACATTCGGATACTATAGACAACAGAGAATATTACGAACACTTCAGCAATTTAATCATAGCACGGAAGTTATTCGCTCTTAAAAAATTTCAAAACTATAACAGACAACGATTACATCTAGAGGAACGTATGAAAGACCGTGTGAGTGATATCAAATCAAATTGAAATCGAATCACTTCCAAATACTCAAAATTGCATGAGGTTGACACTCAAAGGATCATATACAAAGAAAAGCTCAGTCAAGAACAAGATTTGGAAAGAAAATAGCAAATCTTGCCCATTTATATCGAATCCGAGCCAGGATTAAAACGACGATAGCAACAACAACACTGACCCCAACAACAACAACGTCAAAGAGCCGAACAAGAGCTTGTTTTAGCACCCCTAGTGTGTGCTATGTCCATTTAATATTTGTAGCTAATTGAAAAAAACTTCTAGAAGGACCCACTCAAACTTGACTGCCAGTAGTTCCCACATTTCCTTGTCAAATTTCTTATTGATAGAATATTATTTAATATCTTTGTACGCATCACTCATATATTTCGTAAACACAAATAAATATTATCCTATTCTCTACTCACTTGCTAGCTTGGAGCTGTTCCAGCTCGTGGAGTAGCTGCTGCCAGCTGAAGCCCAAGCGGCCGTCGGCCAAGTGCAGACGACAGCGTTCGTGAATATGATTGAAAAGCTTTTGAAAGGGCGTATAGCGCTCCAGGCATTTGATGTCGCCCAATAAAATCAATTTGTGCTTGGCACGTGTAATGGCAACAGTTAATCGCCGTTGATCCTCGAGGATTTCAGCCTCACGTGACCGTTCCATGCCCTGGTCGGCAGCTGTGCTGCCCGTTTTCGTACAGCTATAGATGATTAGATCCTTGTCGCGTCCCTGATACTGATCAACCGTATTGAACTCCACGCCGGACAGATGCTCGCCCAGTTTGCGCAGCAGCTCCACCTGAGCGCGATATGGTGCAATGACCCCGATGCGTGAGGCATCGTAGCCCGCCTGCAGCACTTGGCGCAACAAATGCAACACAATCGCCGCCTCACAATAGTTACTGTACTTGGGTACACGACGTGTGCGAGCTGATTGTAGTTGAGTTGATTGCATTGTTTGCTCAACGGCTTCGCCGTAATGCTGTTCAATAGCGGCGCTGGTATTGCCCAGCTGTTTGGATGCATCAACGTACTCCTGACAGCGTTGGGCACAGTCGTCCGTGTCCAGCAGAAAGACCGCTTGCTCCAAATGCGTTTGCAACGTGCGCTGCACCCAGGGACAACACTCGGCCGGCGGCTGCAGCTGCAGTTTGGCATTCTCAACCTGTTCACTGGCGCACTGCAAAGCCTGGCCGTAGGTCAAGTGGTTGGCCAGTCGTGTAATGCTGCGATTCATGCGATACTGCAGTGTTAGCACAGCTGTGGCCTCCTCACAATCCAAGCGTTGGAACAGGCTCTCGTCAGCGCCGCGTAGACGCGCCTCACGGCTACGCACGAGCGGCGGCAGCTGTTCCGGATCGCCCACAAGTAGAAAACGGCTGCTGTGGCTCAACGCACGCAAAACCGCCGGCTGCAGCACCTGAGTGGCCTCATCCACAATGCAATAGTCGAACTGACGATGCTGGAACAGGGCATGTCCGGCACCCAGACAGGTGACGCCCACAATGCTTGGCTTTTGCAGTGCTGACGTCAACTGTTCAACTGTTTCGCAGTTCGCCGTCAACTGGGCCTCGCTGATCTCCTGCAATTGCGGATGGATTCGGGCACTGCTGCCCAGACGCATCAGCGGCAGATTATAGGGCAGCAGACGCAACAGCAGATTATCGACAGCGGAATGCGTTTGGGCTGTAATTAGCACAGTGCGCTCCATTAGATGCAGCAGCCGCACAATGGCCACCAAAGTCTGGGTCTTACCCGTACCGGGCAGCCCCTTGATTAGCAGGTGTGTATCGGTGGTGAGCGCACGCAAGGCAGCCACCTGCTGCACCTTATTCAAGGAGCGCAGCATGGGCCCGCCCTTGCTGCCAATGATGCGAGGCAGCACCTTTTGCTGCTTTGGCCGTGTCCGGCTTATCACAATGGAGCGCAATTGGGCCGCACGCTCGCTGGGCGCCAAAAGTTGCGCCAGATTCGTAAAATTGAAACTGGCAAAGCTCTGTGACTCATGCTTGTCCACTATAAAGCTTGCCAGCGCATAACGCTGGCCAAGATCACGCTCCAGCTGCAGGCACAGGCTGCGCGGCTCCAGCGCTGTTATGTAGCCGGCGGCAATGGCCAGCCGTGTTGTACAGCTGATGATCACATATTCGCCCAACTCGAACTGGAAGAGGATTATTATTTGAATTGTAAACGAATCAAATTTAAGCAGCTTATCAGATATCAACTCACGCCGCTGAGCGTTAAGTTTAGGTCACTCTCCGCCTCTTGGGATAGAATCAATTTCTGTTCATAGCGTCCATCCACTAGACGCGCCTGATGATCCTTAGGCAATTGCAGCTGCTGTATGGCGCGACCTAGCTGCTGCCTCTTGGCTGGTGTCTCCGTCCAGAGCGCACGCAGCTGATGCGATTGACGCGCCTGTTGTTCCTCGAGTGCCAGCAGGCCGCACCAATGGAACACATACTCGAAGTCTGCTTGATTCAGATGCTCCAGAACTTGTGGCATTAGGCGTCGCAACGGATGCGATTCACTCAACTCCAGCTGAGGATCTGTGCTGGCAAAGCTGCAGCAGAGCGTGGCATAGGCACAATTGCCGCAGGCACTATGGTGCGAAATGGGCTCGGGCAGCTGCAAGGGCTGCAGCAGTTTGCCAGGCTGTTCGGCCAGCGAGAGTGCTTCGTTGGCCACTGGCAGCTGGACATCGCGTGTTAAATAATGGGCCAGATCGTTGCGCAGCAGGATGAGATCACGCTGTTCGTTGCGACCCTCGTGCACCTCGCGCAGGATGCCTTCGCGCAAGTAGAGCAACAAACCGCTGCGCGTCTCCTGACCCAGAGCCGAGTGCATTAGTTGATAGAGCAGCAGCTGACCCTTGTGCTCCATCGAGAAGCTGGCGCGTCCAGTTTTCAACTCCAAGGGAATCGGCTGCTTTCTGTTGCGCACATGCACAGAGACATCGACCTTGCCCTTGAGTCCCAGCTGGGGCACCCAAAGATTTTCTTCAATATCGTGTATTTGGTCAATCCGACCCTTGTACATTTCCGCCGGCTGCACAGACGGCAGCTTGCCGTCCACATATTGCGCCACAAAGTCAACGATGGGTCCCACAAACTTATATAGCTGCAGCTCGATCTCGGCGCGATTCAGCTGCCCGGCATAGAGCTGCTGGGCCAGAGAAGCACTATGCAGCATTTGCTGCAGTGCATCCTCCACTTGTGACTTCTGACGCAAACGCTGCGACAAAACTGTCTGCAGCAGCTCGTGCACCAATGTGCCAACGATCATCTAGAAGATGTGATTAACATTTAGAGCTGATCTGGTTTGAATGCCGCATCACTCACCACCGCGTTAGTTGAGTCAACACCACGGAAACGATCCTGCAGCACGGCCTTGCGGCGGCAGAACAGCGAACCCGTCACTGAAGTGCTTGAGATGAGCAAATCTGGATGTATTACACAATAGCCCTGCTCCTTGTTGACCACATAGGCAGCCAGTGTGGGCTGCCATTGTGCCTTAAGCGACAGCAGATCGCCCTGTGCCAGTGGCGTTTGGTTCCACGGCGCCTGCAAATGGCAAACAGCCTTTGCATCC